ATCCTCAATGCTCTGATTATAAGCAAAATTTTGGTTATGGTGGAAAGATGATTATGAGCTTAGGTTGTTCAAAATCAATCATCACTGACTCTGATATAGTGATATCTCTATGGAATTCTAATGAAAGGTATGTATCATTAATAAGATATTGGTCTACATTTGCTAGGCTGATTATAAATCATAAGAAGCAATATGGATTATAGTATACAAATGTGACATGAGTGTATCATGCTCTGCTCTGTCATGCATCTGTGTAGAAGACGTGTGGAACTGCATTGTGTTGGTTCACTTGTAAGAGATCTTTTAAAAAACTGAACAGATGCTCAATTTCGTTTTGCTTTTGGGTATATGTCTTTTCAGGGTGAGAAAACAAAAGTTTTGGTGACCGGAGAGGTTTTATGTATGGTTTGAAGAACAAATGCCACTTTCAGGATTAAGAAGGGGCAAAGCGAAACGATGTTAGGAGGCTTTGAGGCTTGAAATAAATAAACCAGCTTTAGTGGTACTCGAAGCTCAGGCTTGTTAGCTGTTGTGACATATATATTTATCACACGACACGAGAACACAGATTAAGAGACAGAGAAATCCAAGTTGTAATGTTTTTTTTTTGTTTTTCTTTTTGTTCTTTGGAGCTGGTGCTGTTACATAGCAGAGCTCTTTTCACCTCAAAAGCTTGGGGTCTGTAGCATTATAATTGTGTCAAGGAAATCTACGAAGAGAATATGTTATTTCTTGATCTCTTGTGGTGAACACCACATTGAATATATAAAAGATCAAAGTTCATTTTTTAGATCTAAAGGCTAAAGACATCATCTGGACTAAGACGCAATACAAAGTTAAGGTCATGAGCGTGTGAGAAGTGAGATATCTCTTCCCTGTTTCTCATGTATTTGGAAAGACGAATGAAGTTGGTGATGTACAAAGAGAAGAACAGACACAAGAAGAGAGAGTCTGAGAGTATCCTCTAGAAGACCAATCTATCAATGTCAACAACAGCAGAAACAAAAGAAGGTAGAGATCAGCCTTTCTTGACCGGCCTTTGGACGTACGATTTGTTCGGATCCTCTGTCTTCAATTTTGGAGGACGCGTCTCTCCTTTTTTGGCCTGATGAGTGATAACAGATGCTTAGATTGAATTCTCACCCAAATGAAAAATGTAATTCACCAATGAAGGGCATTCTCCCAACTAACAACAATGTGTCTCTTACCTTCTTTCCTGATTTCTGAAAGTCTCTCCAGCTTGATACCTGCACATGGAAACCCAAACTTAAATGAAACCCAATTGCTTATACGATCTTATACAAATGAGTAGAAGGTGGAACCAGCACTCGCTCCTTCGAGTCCAAAAATAAGTGTCAAAACGTATTTAATTAAGAACTGATATAAATGGTTCAAACTATTTCAGATGAGTTCTCTTTTCAAAAGGTGAGCTAAAATGGTTCTAAACTACTGCATTCATAGGCAGGTAGGGAACTAATAACATGGGCAAACAAACAAACAGATATCAGATGAGTTTTATTCTCTAAAGCCATTTCTAAGCATAAATAATGATCCAAGGGTCAGCTAAATGTTCTAAACTAAGGCACTCATAGGCAGGTAATGAATCAGGATAAGCGGTTAGCAAAAGAACAAACCCTTTTTTCTCTTGTCCCTTCCCACTGTTCTTCATGTTCACGCTTTTTCTTCCATATCTCCTTTTGTTCTGCTTCATCCTTCTTCAGTCTTCCCTCTTCTTCTGATATCTAAATGCCAAGAAGCAATAATACAAAAAATGAATAAATGATTGTGCGACTTCCCACAGAAAATTTCAAACACGGAAAACTAGAAACTCTACATACTCTCATTGCCATTTTTCTTCTACGCCACTCTTGGTCTGTTAATATCTCTCGGACCTTTAACTTGAGCTCCTTCTGAAACTCCTCAGATTGCTCATATATGTGTTCATGCTTTCCCTGTGTACATAAAAATTGTGTGGCACTACACGTTAAGAGGAATCTGGACTACAAAAAAATATAGGAAACAGAAGATATTAACGATTTAGATATTTGAGAATACAGCTAGTGGTGACAATATAGAAATCAGACGAGGGAAACAAAGAATAAAGACAGAAAGTGGTGATTCACTTAAGGTATCCTTTATCTAACACATAAACAAACGTTGACAAAAAATGAGCTAGGAATACTGTAGCTTCGAATTATTATTTCATGGGTAAATAACAGACTAAAGGTTCGAATTATTATTTCATGGGTAAATAATAGACTAAAGGTTTTCTATTTCAATCTAAGTAAAAATATGGGATTACATTACAACAATGTCCAGTCAGTAAAGAAACAATTAAACTGAACAAGATAATGTCAGCTAAGAAAGATATTTTCAAAATGCACTACTATGTTAAACATGCATCTAAAAACAACTTAATCTAGCAACTTGAAAAAAAATTCTTGCAAAAAAAATCAATTCAGAACCGATTCTGAGAAAAGCTAGGGTCCTAAAAGAAAATGCGCAGTTTCAAAATCAATATTTGATATCACTGGTTACAATGAAGCCATCAATTACCCAGCTTAACTCTAGATCCAATTACATTGAACAACTAAAACAGTAAAAACCGAGGATCTCAGATATAAATGGCTTAGATCTAACCCCCAAAAGAAACAGGTTTCTTACCTCATCAACCAAGGACTTTATTTTAGAGGCGGTATCTTTCTTTAACTGTTTCTTTCTCTTCATCTTAAGCTCTTCTGCATTTCACAGTTGAAGAAAAGAAGGTTGTCACGACTCATGAGACAGAGAAATATAAAAGGTAAACGACCGATTCTGGTATAATTTCCAGATGAATATGGAACGTCCTATTTTTAATTGATCAAACAGTTAATTAATGGACCCAAGATAAACTACAAAATCTAACCTTTAGCAGAATGGACTTGGGTGAGAATATAATCCCTTTCTTGGTCGTTTAGCAGTAGTTGTTGCGCTTTTGCCAATGCTGTTCAGTAAAAATAAGAAACCATGAGAACATGACAAGTTCATCCAGACAAATCAATTCTTTAAAGGAGGGCAAAGCATTGCTTGCTTGATACAACACCAAGATGGAAATTCACACAAAAACAACTGAATGTGTAAGTAAATTATGTAAAAGAAATTTTAAGAATATTAACCTCCAAAAGCCTCCTGTGCTTGTGGATGCTTGCATTTGTCAGGATGCACCATCAAAGAAATCTGGAAAAGGTTCAGATCAGTCACAAAATTTCCAGTGTATTCTCAATCAGTGGCACAGAAATTAAAATCACGTAGGCAAGCTTTTTGTTCTACTAAGTCGACAAAACCATGAATAAAAAACAAATGTCCTCGCCGGGAAAATGGCAGAAAAATACCTTTCTATACTGCCTTTTAACATCATCCGTGGAAGAATCAAAAGAGAGGTTAAGATGCTCAAATGGGTTCAGCTTGAAACATGAGAGAATCCTACAAAAGTTTCAAACTTTAAGATGTATAATCATAAGAAACGTGAGAGTAGAACAAGATTAGCATACTGGTGATAATTGCAACAACAAAGATAAGTAATCACCACCACTATACATGGAAGATATGTGCAAACACACTCACAGATCATATCTGTATTGCCCAAAAGCAATAAGACCATGACAAAAGGAGAGAATTTGATCAAATTTTCACAAGATCCACTTTGTAATAAGTACATAGTGAAGGACATAATCCAAAACACACATAGCTAAAATAGTTGAATTATGTGTTTATTCAGTTCCCTAAGTTACGATCGTTCCTCAGAGATAACCATAAGGAAACAAATCTCAGAGCATAGAAACCCTAACCCACTATGAATTGCGTAAACAAGAGTCAGATCAGGAACATAGTTGGAGGGTACGAGCTAAATTAGGCATAGGAAAAGGGTTTTGAAGGAACCTGACGACTTCGTTATCTCTCTCAACTTCTCCGACCTCGGCGAGGAAGGATTTAAGAATCGCATCGTCGTCTACTTTTACCTCTCCCATGACTCTTGTCTTCTTATGATTCTCTTGTCCTCTCTCTTCCTCCTTCTTCCAACGACGACAAGAGTAGAGAACGAAGAAGAAACAAAATGGCGATTTTCTCTAATTGAGGTCGGGTTCTTGGGCGGGTTTAATTGTGGGTCTGGATTTGACTCTTTGGGTCGGGCCTTTCGGGCCGAACAAGTGGATTCGGATTTAGTGAGGGAGAGAATATAATTTACTTGTCAACTAGATTATTTATTTTATCCCATGAGAAAAAATATCAATTTTTAGATATTTTGAAGCATTTGGCAGGAAAAGGATTAGATTAGATTAAAATAAATAATTAAATACTAATGAATTAACAAATATTAAATAAAACCATATTCTCTAATTTATTTATTGTGTGTGTATTGATATTATTTATTATTTAAGTAAAAGGCTGTATTTCTTTCCCAATTATTTGAAGTAAAAATAAAATGTAAGAAATGTTACAATAATTTAGGTATTGGGCCGAGGTGATTTATCTAGTCATCAACTAGACCACGACATGTAAATTAACGCTTAGTTGGAGTTGCTCTCGATAAGGTCGACGAAATATCGGGACAGCCAGTACGCAACGAATCTTAACCACATATAACATATTGTCACCCTTGCTCGCAAAACATGCTCATACCTTAATCACATATTGTAATGCATATGAAATCACGTAACCAATAATAGATATGCATCCTATTAAGTATCCAACAATTGCACTAAAATGAAACCAATATTGTGTATTTGCATGTGAACCGTTTTATTGCTTCAAACTCATGACTCGTTCCACTCATGAACTTCTCCTTGCAAAATTTTAGTTTTCTTTCAAAGAGATAACTGACTTTTTATTTCTTTAATTTTTCTAAAGCTCAAACTTGTATCCTTATTAATTATCTTATGTGCTCTTACTTTTAACTTAATGTTGTGAAATATAATTGAATAACACGGGTTCTCATCTTTAATTTGCGAACAATATGGAACAACAAAATAAGTTGTACAAAACACAACACTCATCATTAAATATTTCTTACTCCAACGAGGTCAAAAACCTCATTAAAAACAATAAATTATACTTCTAATTTTCACTCTTCTCCTATTCTTGATCCTTTATTTTCCTTTTTATAATTTTTCTGTTTACCCACAAACCAAAAAGGTAAATGGCAAAACATATAGAGGAAAAAATAAGGTAGAAAAAACCATGATTCAACAACAATTATTGGGTTAATATGCACATATATTCGAGTAAAACACATACTCGACTATATATACACATATATAGATAATATCATTATGCTTCTTTGTAAATTACCCCTTTTTCGCCTTAAGGGATTAAGTGGCAATGCAGAAAGGCTCAATGGACAAGAGAGACCTCCTTCGGTCCTTGCAACCATTTATCCAACCGTCACCCATTGATTTGTTGACAAAGTTTTGGGCTTGAAATTGGGTTTTTGGGCTTGAAATTGGGCCAAAAGATTCAGTGTTAGTGGACTTCCAAGAGTAGTCACATGTGTTGAAGCAAGCAGCTCCTACGGTGTCGTCCACTGTGGATGGCGGTTTTGTTGATCGAGCAAGCTGAGCCACCCTTGGCCTCGGCGGTAGAGAGTGGACTACCGGAGTTGACAGATCGGATTTGGTGTCGAATTCATCAGTCACGGGCCATCTAGAGTTTCTCTTAGGTACACCAATGGGTTTATAGGCCAACCTATGAACGGTTATAGGAATGGGCTTTTGTGCCAATTTATACAGAAGCCCATTGGGCTTGTAGGCAAACTCGTCTGGTGCCTCTTCTTCTTCTTCGTCGTCTTCTTCTTCTTCTTCCTCCTCGTCGAAACATTGGAGCTCCGAATCAATCTCGTCTTCTTTGTCGATTTCGTTAATGGGTTCGTCGCTGATTTCAGCAAAAGTGAGAAGGAGGCGTCCGTCTTGGCGCTTAGCGGAGAAGTTGTTGTGCGACGGCATAGAGACCGCCTCGAGAACCAATCGGCCATTGTCACGGCGAGTTTTCATGTGCAGAGACGAACCAGATTGGCTCGAGAGAGAACGAATCGGAGGAGGAAACGATCCTCGAGGCAGCTCGATTATGTGATTCGGAACCGTGATTGATTCTTGCTCAATCTCAACCTCAGTCTCTGTTATTTCTTCTACCTTCGTCTCCGTCACGTTAATAACGAGATTGGTCTCCTCATGAATCTCGATCTCAACATCTCCAGTCTCCGACGATGCATGCGAAGAGTAACCATCGCAACCAGTCTCGGATCCGAGACTCTCCGTACAAATCTCGAGGCTTTTCTCGCTCAAAGAACTCGCACGTTTCATCAGAGGATGAACATACGGTGGAGGAACCGCGTCGTTGCTCGATTCAGTCTTCTTCTTCTCCGACAAAATCGAACTCCATACATCGGATTGACCCGGCTCGATCTCTTCCTCTTTCTTCTTGTCGTTCTTGTCTTGTTGAATCTGTGCCCAAATATCGACACCGGATCTTGTTTCTTCCTCTGCTTCGTCAGCACGAAGCTTCTCAGAGGAAGAGATCCTTTTCATAGGAGGAAACCCATTTTGCGAAACCCAAGTCTTGGAGGACAAATCGGCGGAGAAGGTACGCCTCAGTGAAGGTGCAGATGAAGTGTTCGACGAAATGCCACCAAGGATTGTCACTATGCCTTGTTGCTTCTTCAAGGAGGAAGACAAGCCAAGGCTCTTGCTTAAGCCACAAGCCATCATTTTTCAAAAGGAAATCACAAACCTCTCAACAACACTATTCCCTCGCTTTCCTGCACAATTATAACAATCAAAAAGTGTTAGCAAACAAATGAGAAATTAGCTCTTTTTTAATTTGATTGTGATCTTTTTTCTAGAGAGAGTTAACATACCTGGAGTAGATTTGAGAGAATTGACGGTGAGGGTGAAAAATTCGAAGTGTGTTGTGTTGTGTTGTTTAGAGAAGATTGTTGTGTGTTTTGTGGTTTTGATGGATGAGAATGAGACATGAAGAGAGGGGAGTGAAGAGGTGTTTATATATATAGGGATTTGCTTTTTTCATTATGGAACCATGTACTGTGGGGTCCTCCATCAAATGAAATGACTCTTCATTGCCACTTTTTTTTTTGTGTTTTTATAATATATTTTCCAGTATTGTTTTCTTAAAACAATTAGAAAAGCTCTTTAATTTTGTAACATATGTTTTTCAATTATGTATTTGATGCAAGAAAAATGTATGAAATGCATATATTATTATATTTCAGTGGGTAGGACTTTTAAAAAAATTGGCAACACAAAACCGAAAAAATGTTTGAACGAATGAAAGAAAAAAGAAACTAATATCAAAATAGTTAAAAACGGAACGAAATAATAGTACACAAAAAAAAAAACGGTTCCTTTTCGTGATTGGTAAATTATTCAAAGTTTAATACTGTGATTATTGTGATCATAATGAATATATATATATATATATATGTGTATTGTGTGAATCAATTCGTAGAATGTTTGAAAACTATATCCGTTTGTTTTTCTTCCATTTCAACACTAAACAAACTAATACCAGTCGTGTATATGACATAGGTGCAAACAAAACTCGAGGCGAAGAATAGTAGTGTATAACAGTGTAACAATGTAACTAAAGCGTTGAGCGTGTGTGTCCAAACAAAACTAACGGATATGAAACGAAAAATATATTAAAAAAAATTGTGTACATTTATATGTCAAAAAAAGAAGAAAAATGTTGACGTATGGCATCGATTCCTTGTTGAACCAATAACGTGGCAAATTGTGGAAGTCACAATTTTCATCTTCTTTTGTGCTAAAACGATGAGAATGTTCCAAAAATATGCAAAGAAAGCTGGATGCCATTATTAGGATGTTCGTTTTTTTTTTTTTTTATATAAGTTACCTTTAATTTCTACTACCACTTGGGTTTATTTTAGACTATTGAACAAAACAATCGCTGTTTTTTAGAATTAGGTATAATAGCACAACTAGTGTCATAGTTTATACATGAAGAGTATATATGTGAAAACATTATAGATGCAAAATATCTTTAGTTTAATATTGCTAAACTAAAGACATGGTTTTTGTAGTCTGTTTACATTGGCGTGATGGTGTCTGCGATTTAGTAACACTTTGGAAAGTATCAACTACTTTAGAGAGCTTTTTTTCGTTGTGAAACAAATCAACCGAAAATATAAACAGATACTGTAATAAATAGCTGAATACCAACTGAAATCAGCAATGTTAAAAAAATATTACTTCCTTTGTTTCATATTATATGATGTTTTAGCCATTTTATTTTGTTTCACAATATAAAATGTTTTGGAAAAAAATTCAAGTTTTTATGCAAAAAATTAAATTTGTATAATTTTGTGACTATTTAGATTCTGCAGTAAATCATATTATTAGTCAAATTATGTTGAATATCTAAAAACTAAAAGAATTAATTAGTTCCTTAAACTTTGTGTTTTTAGGCAAAACATCCTATATTTTAAAACAGTGGGAGTATTTTATATTTAAGAATTGAATTATATGGTTGAACAAAACAATTTACAGTCAAACGTTTATAAATTAATACTTTATAAATTAATAACCTCTCTAAATTAATATATTCTTCCGGTCCCGAGTTGGGACCAGTGTAAAATATGACATAAATCGATAAATTAATAAGATAATATTTTTTTTGAAAATATCATGTAAACATATGGTCTCATCTATATTGTAAATTAATAATTGTATAAACTTATCAATATATATATATATATATATATATATATATATATATATTTAACTTTTTATTTTTTTTTTCCGGCAAATCAAATTATATTATACAATAAAGAGAGTTTTACATGATATATGAACCACTCAAATACAACCATTGACACAAATAAAGGAAATTGAACACAATTTCGATGAAGGAGTGGAAATGACCCTGCTTTCCAATCGGAAGCCTTACATGCTAACAGATAAAATCTGTTACGTCCCCCCTTCACATACTCGTAGTTGGCTATCATCTTATAGATGAAACTCCAAAATGCTTTTCGCATTACTCTGATTAAAAGAAAAAACTGTAGTGTTGCTTGAAATGATTCTAATTCTTGTCTTTTGAAACTCAATACGATATACTCGAAACGTCTTACGCAACGTTGCCGGTTGGTACCCATGATTTTCCATTTCATAGAAATGTGATTTTCCGACCACGGGAAAGAGAAAACATCACCATCACAATCACTCTTCACCATCTTCCTTCTCATCACGCTCGTTACTTGATTCGGGTTGTACCAAAGACAAGTCAACTGAATATAACGATGAACTCGTTCTGATAAAAGAAAGGCTTCCGACCAAGGAAAGTAATCACCATCGTCATCATAAAAAAAAGTCATCACCTTAACTTTGGAACCATATAATCCTAAACCCATACAATCAATCCACGAGACGAAAAATTCCAACCAAGGTAATGGGAAACCATCACCATCATCAGACAATTTTAACGGCACAAGAAATCCATTGTCACATTCAACACAAGAGTACCAAGTCCCATATCTTGCACATGTGACCAGAATTCCGAGGATAAAACTTAATCCCAACTCAATTCGAGAAGCATACCCGATTTGATATATGATTCCGGTTCCGTCAAGGAGAATGATTCCTTCGTTTATTCCGGGATCAAAAACCCATGTAACATCTCCATACCATTCGGTAAGAGGACTTTCACCGGTTGATAACCGGAAAATCCACCGGTAGTGAGCAAACGCACCGGAAACAAACCTTCTACCAAGAAGGACATCACAATTCCATGGAATCGACATTACAAAGAAAGGGCGCCAATGGATGCGGTATGAATCTGTCAAATCTTTCAGTGAAAGCCAAACGAATTGGTAGATAATCCAAATCAAGAATGGCTCAAGAGGCGTGGCCGGAGTCTGATTTGCAATTGACGGACTCAGTCCCTGAATCACCACCGTCGCGAAGAGGCAAAATGTGTGGGTTTGATAATTTTGATTTGCCATTTTTAACTACATAAATCTAAAACTGAACAGCAATTAGGGGAAGTAGAAGCAACTGAATAAGAAAAAGACGATGGCCGACGCCGGAGAAGCCGACGCCGGCCGGAAACGGCGGAGATAACGAAAAGGTGTTAGTTTGTCTTTGAAGTCGCTCTCGGGAGAGAAAATGGATAGTTATTTTATTTTTATGCTAAATATATATTTAACTTTTTATATATATATATATATATATATATATATATATATATATATATATATATGATATAAATTTTTATATGTCATATATGAATTACTATGATATATATTTAAAATATTATATGTAAAATTTTAATGAACTATGACTCTATTATTCGAAAAAAGTTTGTGTTGTTTCTAAACTTAATAATTGCTTCTCTACTTGCAATTGATTTTAAAAAGATATTGTTTATAAAGAAAAAAATTATTTTTAGATAAAAAATTTTAAAAAAATTATAAAATTAGTAAAATAATTTATCGATAAATTAATACCTCTATAAATAAATAAAATTTCATGGTCCCAACATTATTAATTTATAGAGGTTTTACTGTATTAATTTCAGTGTCTCTCATATGTTGATAAAATCTATAAGTTCAATAAAATGAAATCCTTCAATTTATCAGTTCCAACCTAAGTATTAAATAATTCACTTGATTAAATACATATCAAAAATTCCATTCTGCTTAAAAAAAAAAAAAAAGATTACCACGCCAAGAGACAAGTAAATCAGACCGTTTTTGGACTGATGAGCTAATGAAACCAATATGTTTCATGAATTCAAAAATACCACAAAACGTGCAGAGAATTATAGTTTTTGTTAATCGCATATTCATTTTAGATATAATGTATTAAAAGGCGATATATTTGTAATCTTAAAATATATTGTTAATTTGAACAAAATGCTGTATGAGATTTGTTTTCTGAAAATTCTAATAACCCTAGCCATAATTTTGCATAACAGTCTCCAAATCAACGTACGTACTGTATATTGGCGCGTAAGATGTGATTGAAAAGTGGTTCCAATAAGTTGTCTGTAACCATATATATCACAAATAATTCACATAAATAATCTTTTTTATATATAGTTTTATCATCGATGCATAATTAAAGTTCTGAGAGTGCCAAGTCTCTCCCTCATGCTGTTATCAACATTATTGTTGGAAGTCTGTCGGTTGGATTTTGGTCCAATTGGTTTACCTGATAGTCAGAAATGCAGGCGGCCTGACTACCCCCTAGCACTTAGTCGGAAGGTATTCCAAACTCGGGATAGACAGAGTGGTAGCCCGAAGGGCCTAGCCGTTAACACGGTGGACCAGTCCACTATGTAGCACTTCGGTGCGTTCCTACCGGGACCGACCGGATAGCCGATAGAGTTTATCAAAAAAAAAAAAAAAGTTCTGAGAGTGAATAAAGCTGTAACTTTTAAAACATATATAAAATCGTATAGTTTGAACACTTTTTAAAAGTTTCTTTCAAAGATGTTAAAATTACACGAGCATCAAAGTTCAATATATCATAAAAGCTACTTGATGGTTTCTAGTTTTTAGTGTACATAGTACAAGTTTTACTGAAAGAATTTGGCCGTATAGTAATTAAACGTACTTTTAGTATAATACAATTCTTTTTAGTAATTTTTGTCAATACAAATTAGATAATATCGTTAGAAAAGTATTTGGGGTAAAACACAAGTTGGTGAGTATAGGAGTAGGATGCGATCCGAGAGCTAGACAGAGACGTGTGCATGGGGACACGAAGACTGAATAATCTTTTGTTCTCAAGTGTACGTGGTTGCATGTTTACGTGCGTATATGTATATCCGTATATATATGATGTTGATATGATCATGAATTTTTTTACTTTCTTTTTTGGTTTTATTGATGATCATGATGAGATCATTATTGGTCCTATCCGGAAAACGATAAAATGTTCTAAAAGTATCCAAAAGACACCAAATGCGTACTCCTACGTACATAAATGTATCTATACTAGTATAATCGCAGCACTTTTTGTGACGGGTGGGTAAAAAAGCTTTCGGGTATATCGGATATCCGACCCATTTTAAAAATTCCTTCACAAAAAATTTGTTGGGTCGGGTTAAATTTAACCCAACTCATACACCGAATATTCCATATTTAATAATTTAGATTTTTAGAAGATTTGATTAAGATTTATAATTATGATTCTCCTATCATCTTTGTTTGATTTGTTTTTAACTGTTTTAAATCATCATATAATACATAAAGTAAAAAAAAAAATCAATTTTTTTTCTGCATGTACTGTGATTCGAAATTTTAAAAACGGACATATATTATCCAATTGACGAAAATGTGTGTTCAACGTTCTACATCGATTAAAATATTTAGACAATGATTCAGAATCATATTATAAATAAGAACATTAATAAAATAAATGAGTTTTTTGGCGGGATGGGTTTGGCGGGACGGGTTTTTGAATTAACAATAATAAAAAGATTAAAATATCATTAATCTGCCGCTTCAATACGGATTTAATCCTTATTTTTTTTAATACAAATCACAGGACGGGTTAAAAAATTACGGAACGGATTATATTTCGGAAATGATTTATATGGCGGACGAATTTGAATCAATATTTATATACCGCTTTAATACGGGTTAAATCCTCAGTTTATTAATAATTATCTCGTGGACTCGTGGTATACCATTATTTAATAACAATTGTAAACTATAATATAAATAAATATGTTATAAAGAGATACAATTTACAAAATATTTTTATACTAACTTTAAAATTAAATCATCCCGCGGTGTACCGCGGGTTAAAATCTAGTTGTCTTGTTACAATAGTATTGTTTTGGTATATATGTATAATTTTTTTTCCTTTTTTTTTTTTTTTAATGGTATGATCGCATCATATCTCTAGAATATTGGCCCGCAACGTCTAATCCCTATTTGTAGTGAATTAATGACTAAGTAAATAACTACCCACACATTTATTATATGCAAAATATTATATTTTTCTCTAAATATTTCGATCATTCCAATATTTAATCACATGTCTTTGGTCTTAAACTCTTAATACATACTTTCTGCTAGCTCATTGTGGACAATGTTTGATCACCACCTAGACTTTGGACTTCTCCCTACTCTCATGCAGTCATGCTCAAACTGAAATTAATCAAAAAAAGGTTTAAAATCACTAATTCGTGGGAGATACCAAAATTACTAATTCGTGGAATTACTATCGAGAGATAAATCTTCAAATTGCCGTTCCTCGCTGCCAATCTGATTTTTTCGTCATACTAATTTTTTCTTAATATAGTCATATATATAGTTCTTCTTGGATTAATGGGTTTTCGCTCGTTTCTGTAGTATGTATTAATTGTTATTTAAGTATTCTTTAGATAATTGTTAGATGTATGAAAGGTTTGATTTAACTTTTAACAGTATAGATTTTACCTTTAGTTGAGTTATTTAATATTTTCTTATTGTTTAGGAAAAATTTTCAATATATATGCGTGTGTACGTATAAGGTCTCAGTCACGTAGTTGCGGTTAAAGAATTATACACCGCTTTTGTATTTCCCTATGTTTTGTTTCATAAACCTGAATACTTGATTCCCATTCCATGCAACCTAAGCTCATAGCTGATTTCTTATAAATATTAAAGTAGTTATGTCTTTTTAACAAACAAAAAAAGTATTTTCTTTGTTTCATTATATTAAATGTTTTAGGAATTTTATTTTGTTTTATACTCCATCCGTTTCAAAATCTAAGACGTTTTGGAAAAACTTTTTTTGTTTCAAAATATAAGTCGTTTTCAAGTTTCTATGCAAATTATAAATTATTTTAATATTTTTTGATTATTTTTATTATGCAATATCTTTTATGATTGGCTGAACTTTTAAAAAGTAGATTTTCTTAATCGGCGTGCTTTTAGCTAAAACGCCTTATATTTTGAAACGGAGGAAGTATTATAAGATGTTTTACAAATTTCAATGTTAATTCAAATGCATTTGACAACTTGTGACTATTTATATTTTGCCGTTTTAACTTTTTCTTATGATTGGTTAATTTTTTTTTAACTAAATATAAATAATGTTTTTAAAAAAAATAAATGACGTATATATGTATACATTGGCTTAAACCTCTTATATTTTGAAACAAAAAAAATATATTAAATGTACAGTATCAAACAAACGAGCAAATAATTTTAAGACTAGAATTAATTATTTGCTCGACACATATTGGCATATTGGAAACGAGCAAAAAGCCAGCTAAAAAGCACCAAAATTAGTGTACTTTTACTTATCAATTGAATTGTTTGTTATTCGATGTTTTACTTTACTTGTACATTATTGTTCATAAATGCTTATCTTGATTAACAAAGATTCAATTTACAACTATTTTTAATATACAAATTTCTCAGGCTTTAGTTGACAAAAATCTTAAATGAATAAACATCCAAACGTCAATTTATTTTAAAGGGAGTATATTAGGAAAAATTATTTCGTAATCCACCTCAAATGTCAAAATGAAATTTATATTAAATTTTGGGAGATACTATTTATATAGATTTAATAATTATGAAGAACAATGTAAGAACCAGCCTTTTAAACGTAAATCGACATTATTATTATTTTGATTTAAAATTAAAACGGTCAAAGATACTATTTGTATATTATCTTTTCCAATAAATATATATAATTTTTAAGAATATACCAAATACATATACCATTTTACAAGCCTTCTTATAATCTTCCTAAACCTTGAAAGCTTTATAATGCTTCTCAAATGATTTTGTGGTATTTTTGATTTTCTAAAAAAAAATGTTTATTAATTTTGATATCAAAACATAGAATTAATATTTTAAAATTTTACCCAAAAAAAAAAAACACAAAGGCGAAGACATCCAGAAAAGAACAAACATTTCCAATTAGGTTAAAGGAAGATAGCGAGAGACACTCATTGTGGGCAAAACATCGCTTAAGGTGGAAGCAAAGGAATCGCCTTTCTCCTTTTAAAGGACCAAATTTAATTGAACGGACCAATCAATTTACTAGAAATTAAAGTTTATCCATATATAATCAAATCTCAACATGACGTCATCAAACAAATTGAATTCCCTAAGGCATTGATGATTTAGTGTATACATATCATGGTCACCACTTTGGAAAATGTATAACACAATAA